AAATGTCCTTCAGTAAACTCTAAAAGCAATTCTCTCATAGAAAAAGTCAATAGAAATGAACTCAAAAATATTTTTCTGTGGATAGAACTCAATCATGTTCAGCAGAATAAATTTTACAGTCTGGAAATATAATTTTGTTACATTTACTAATTTCTCCCTCTCTCTTTCTTTTTCTCTCTCCCTCTCCCTCTCCCCTCTCCCCCCTCTCCCCCCTCTCCCCCCTCTCTCTCTCTCCCCCTCTCCCCCTCTCTCCCTCTCCCCCCCTCTCCTCTCCCCCCCTCTCTCCTCTCCCCCTCTCTCCCTCTCCCCCCTCTCTGCCTCTCCCCCTCTCTCCCTCTCCCCCCCTCTCTCCTCTCCCCCCTCTCTCCTCTCCCCTCTCTGCCTCTCCCCTCTCTCCTCTCCCCCCTCTCCCCCCCCCTCTCCCCTCCCCTCTCCCTCCTCTCTCTCTCTCTCTCTCTCTCTCTCTCTCTCTCTCTCTCTCTCTCTCCTCTCTCTCTCTCTCTTCTCTCTCCTCTCTCTCTCTCTCCCTCTCCCTCTCCTCTCCCTCTCCCTCTCCCTCTCCCTCTCCCTCTCCCTCTCTCCCTCTCTCTCTCTCTCCCCCCCCCCCACACACATACACTCACACCCCTCCTCCTCCTCCTCCTTTTCCCTCTCCCCCTCCCCTTTCCCCATTCTTTCCTTTCCCACTCCTCTCCTCCCCTCTCTCTCCTTCCCCACTCTTTCCTTTTCCCCTCCTCCTCCTCCTCTCCTCACCTTTCCCCTCCTCCTACCCTTCCCCCACTCTTTCCTTCCTCTCCCTCCTCCCTCCTCCTCCCTTTCCCTCCCCCCCCTCCTCCTCCCCTTCCCCACTCTTTTTTACCTCTCCTCACCCCATCCCCTACTCTTTCCTTCCCAACTCTTTCCTTCCCTTCTCCTCCTCCTCTCCTTCCCTTCCCCACTCTTTCCTTTCCCCTCCCCTCCCCTCCTCACCTTTCCCCCTCCTCCCCTTCCCCCACTCTTTCCTTCCCTCCTCCTCCCCTTTTCCCCACTCTTTCCTTTCCCCCTCCTCCTCCCCCTCCTCCTTTTCCCTCCTCCTCCTCCCTTCCCCACTCTTTTCTTTATCCTCACCCCCATCCCCCACTCTTTCCTTCCCCCTCCTCCCCTTCCCCTCCTTCCCCCCTCCTCCTCCCCTTCCTTCCTTCTGTACCTCATTTACTTGGCTGTGCTTCCTCATATGAATGCATATTTGCCACACTCATGCTTGCCAGCACATTTGACAAGATGTTTTAATTGTTTTTTATAATGAGAATGTATTGTTGCTTCTGGCTGGTATGTCATCCATAGTTTTGATATATATTCTCTTCAGGGACTTCAGGGATTGTTGTTGTTTTATTTGTAATGCACATTTTCCACCACAAACACTGTTCTTTTGTGTTTGGACTTTATACCCATTAAGTACAGTTTACTTCAAAGAGATTCATCTATGTCTAGCATTTTTATAACCAAAAAATTGAATTCCTTAGATTGTGTTACTTTTGTCATGTCATTCTCCATACTGTTAACGATTACTTTTGTTCAAGACTATAAGAAAAGAAAAGAAGAAATTTTTCAATTAAATATCTGTTTACCTTCTCTCATTTTATACTCAGCATTCTGTTATTGTAAATATAGTATATGAAATAAGTTTCAGAACACTGGTAGGTATATTCAATTTTTATTGAAGTTAATTCTTTTTCTCCAGCCGGGGGAGCCTTGCCAGCAGTCCAATTACATGCTCAATGTCATCGAAGAGGAAGCAGAAGAGGATCTCGAGGACGAGGAAGGCAGCTGCTCAGATGACTCAGAGAGTGGAGAGGAAGAGTTCACGCCCTCCAAGTGGAATCGAGACCTTCTGCCTTCCAGGTCTCTCCTCATGAGTCCAGAGAACAGATCTGTAAGTTTTATTCTTTTTTATTTGTTACGGAAAAGTATGGGATACTAATTGGCAGTTCACTCATGTTGTTAAGGAAAGGTGAAAGAGTGCATATTTTAATATGATTTGGATCACTGATGTGTCTCTAAATTAAAATGCAGACTTAATAACTCACTCTGATTTGTTTTTCCTGCAGACCTTGAAGAAGAGTGTGCGATGGAAGCGGCAACGGCACCACCGTGTGTATGAATACCCACCTGAGCCCCGGTCATGGGAACCAACACCAACTCAGCCACATCAGCGCCGATCCTGGGGAAGGTCCTCCCTGGACTACCTCAGCCTAGCAGGTGAGGACCACAACCAACTTCTCCCCCCCTTTCTCAGTCTGTCTTGTCTTTCAAGCTTTCTGTCTTTTTCAGTCTGTGTTTTTATCTCTCTCTCTCTCTCTCTCTCTCTCTCTCTCTCTTCTCCTCTCTCTCTCTCTCTCCCTCTCTCTTCTCTCTCTCTCTCTCTCTCTCTCCTCTCTCTCTCTCTCCTCTCTCTCTCTCTCCTCTCTCCTCTCCCTCCCCCTCTCCCTCTCCCTCTTTCTCTCTCTTTCAATCTTTTTCTGCTTGTGTCTGTCTTTCTATGTTTCTGTCAGTGTTTGTAGGTGTCTCTTTTTCTTTCTTACTCTCTCTCTCTCTCTCAATCTTTCTGTCTGTTTGTGTCTGTCTTTCTATGTTTCTGTCAGTGTTTGTAGGTCTCTTTTTCTTTCTTACTCTCACTCTTTCTTTTTTTCTTTCTCTGTCAGGGTTTTGTGTTTGCCCTGATTTGGTGGGTTATGGAAACACAGTTCTGGTTTGGAGGTTTATTATGCAGAGGTCCGGTAGCGTGGCGGGGGCTGTCTCGTGCTGGTGCATTAGTGGGCAAGGGAGCCCAAGAGGCGCGTCGAACGTGAGCGCGCATGGGGGAGCGCCCCCAAGAGAAGGTCTGGTCAGGGCCGAGAGCCCTGGTCAAGTGTGTTGTAGGTTTCGAGCACTGGTCGCGGGTCCCTAGTGGAGACTCAGGAAGGTAACCCTTGTTCCTCAGATCACTTGGCATACGCTACTAACCATCGTCCTCGATGGGATGGTGCTGGCGTTTTCTGAAATAAGTACACCAAGGCAGAGACAGGAGGGCAGACAGTGTGTATGTGTGTGTGTGTGTGGGGGGGGGGGTTGTGTGATAGCAACGGCTGTAAGATATAATCAAAATATATGAGATTGCAATGATTGTTATTACAAATATTTTCATGAACTTTCACTTTTTATTATAACTTTTTCAATAATTCACTGCCCAAGGATAGACAGAGGAACATGCTTAGGGAGACAATTACAATAGTCTGCGAGGACTTGCTTGAGTTGCAATTGCCTCAGATAGCAGGAGATGAAAATCTACAAGAGATAAGCATTGTGCAGAACTACAAGGAAGCAAAAGGTGTCGCAGTTCGCAAGAACGTCTTGAATGACTAACTTCCTTGGGAAAAGAATGAAAATGCAACAATGCACAGTTTAGAAGTGTGCCGTGCAATAGTATATACGATATACGTCTGACTAATAGTAAATGTATCTCATTTCATTGAAATTATCTATCACACATCACCAACAGCAATTCGAGGCAAAGCGATAATCAAAACAGGTAATGCAGTCCTCATACTTCGGGAGCAACTCATTACATTCATTACTCATTACTTTCTCAGAACAACATATGCACAATAAGACGTAATGCAAGACAAGAATACACGATTGGCGCAAGTTGGTTATCTTCCGGAAACAGTACGTATGTAATTCTTGTGCAGTTAATGGTTTCTGTGGGACGATGTGTGCATGTGGCTGCGTGAGTGCGTAGACGAGTTGATGGGTGAGCGTTATTAAATGAGAAAGTCAGAGTATAGCGCACGAGTAGAAAATAGAACGCTGATAGATATTCTTTAGTTTTTAGAGTCATTAGTAATTTGTCAAAGTAAGAGCGAGAGTAAAAAGAAATAGAATGGCGTGGGAGTTCGAAGAAATAAGCGAATGGGAGGAGGAGTGGGTGGGCTGGAGGCTAAGGTAAAGGAGGTATGGGTGAGGATGGGGGGGTCAGGTATGTAGACGGGGGTGGGAATGTGGGCTGCAAGCAGTGAAAATAATCACCGATCCGACGGCGCAAAAAAAAAACATTCACACTAATAACAATAAACTTACGGTAATTGCAGTATTAATCAACTACTACGTGAAATCATAAAAATGGTACTTTAATTAGTACGCAAAATGAATGAAACGGTGACTGGTTTGGGTCAGCTTCCCTGAGACAACAGACAGCCAAATGACAACCCTCGTGGTTGTAAATGATACTTAAGATAAATTCCCTGAGGAAAAGTAATGACGTTATGACCCAACCGTAAAAGGGACATATCATCCAGCTCATACGCAGGACGCAATTATGCATCCCATCTTCTTGGGGAATACCAGCAATAATCTCACGTATAGCGATAAGTGTGCAGCTTGGCACATAAGAACAACTTAACATTAATTACCTTAACCTAATTACATGTCCATGCCCAGCTGGGGGTCGTCACCAAGGACCATGTAATAATGATGAGGTGAGGTTCGTGATTAAGAGAAAGATAAGCGAAAATCACGAACAACATGAAATCGTAGTAGCTGCATAATATGATTAATCGCTAACACGGAGATCATTGAATAAGATATAAAATAACAATATAGCTTTGAATGTATTTTTGTGTCGAGCAGAGTCAGATGCTATAAGTACCCTTCTACTTGGGTAAAGGTTTAAAAGTGAAGTCATTCCTCCAAATATTTGGTTAAAAATAGCAAGAAGCAGTATATATAAAATTAAATAATATTGTGAAAAAACAAGTACGCAATAATCTAGAAATTGAATACATGAATGATTAATGGAAAAAAAAAAAAATTACGGAATATACTTCAGAAAATGCACGAATATACTATAATAATAACATAAAATCATACAATTTAATTCATTGAATTATGCTAATATTATTACAGCTCCCAGATATATTCATGCAAACCGGAATTTATTACTCTGTTGTAAATTGTTGTGTTATATAAATGAAATTAAATTTCAGAAAAAAAATTGGAACATGATTCGAAATAGCATTAATGCTATTTTGAATTATGTGATTATTTTCATTGCTTGCAGCCCACATTCCCACCCCCGTCTACATACCTGACGCCCCCCCATCCTCACCCATACCTCCTTTACCTTAGCCTCCAGCCCACCCACTCCTCCTCCCATTCGCTTATTATCATTTTCGAACTCCCACGCCATATCTATTTCTTCTTAATCGCTCGCTCTAACTTTGACAAATTACTAATGACTCTAAAACTAAAGAATATCTATCAGCGTTCATTTTCTACTCGTGGCGCTATACTCTGACCTTTCTATTATAATAACGCTCACCATCAACTCGTATACGCACTCACGCAGCCACATGCACACATCGTCCCAAGAAACCAGTTAACTGCCACAAGAAATTACATGCGTACTGTTTCCGGAAGATAACCAACTTGCGCCAATCGTGTATTCTTGTCTTGCATTACTTTTTATCGTGCATATAGTGTCCTGAGAAATAATGAGTAATGAATGTAATAGAGAGAGGGATGCCGACGGGAGGACGAGAGGGAAGACGGGACGAGAGAGAGAGAGGTGGCGCATGCCGTTAGGCGGACCCCCGATGGTTAGGCGAGCGC